ATAATCATCTTGATTATCTTAATTTAACGGCAGACTGAACACATTCTTCAAATGCTAAAGATAATCATCTTGATTATCTTAATTTAACGGCAGACTGAACACATTCTTCAAATGCTAAATATAATCATCTTGATTATCTTCAAATGCTACATTTAATCATCTTGATTATCTTCAAATGCTAAATATAATCATCTTGATTATCTTCAAATGCTAAATTTAATCATCTTGATTATCTTCAAATGCTAAATTTAATCATCATGATTATCTTCAAATGCTAAATATAATCATCTTGATTATCTTCAAATGCTAAATTTAATCATCTTGATTATCTTCAAATGCTACATTTAATCATCTTGATTATCTTCAAATGCTAAATATAATCATCTTGATTATCTTCAAATGCTAAATTTAATCATCTTGATTATCTTCAAATGCTAAATTTAATCATCATGATTATCTTCAAATGCTAAATATAATCATCTTGATTATCTTCAAATGCTAAATTTAATCATCTTGATTATCTTCAAATGCTAAATTTAATCATCATGATTATCTTAATTTAACGGCAGACTGGACACATTCTTCAAATGCTAAATATAATTATCTCGATTATTTTATCGATTATTATTATTATTATTATTATTATATCGATTATTCTCGATTTTTTTATTATAATCATCTTGATTATCTTAATTTAATGGCAGACTGAAGGATATTCTGGACCGACGGGAGGAGCTACACCAGGCGATCCTAGCCTGCGAGGGGGAGATCGCGGCACAGCGCGCGACCGAGCAAGAATTGCTGGTAAATATTATTAATATTGAATAGATTAATTCAATATTATTAATATTGAATAAATTATTTAAATATTATTAATATTGAATAAATTATTGCAATCTTATTAATATTGAATAGATTATTTCAATCTCATTAAAATTGAATAGATTATTTCAATCTTATTATTATAATAATTATAATGGATAATTATTAATAATTATAATTATTATTGTAATGGATTATTTCAATCTTATCAATATTATATTCATATTATATTATTATTATTAATTCAATCATTCATTCAATATGAATAAAATAATTCAATCTTATTTATATTGAATAGATTATTTTATTTGAATCGATTATTTTTTTAGATTATTAATATTGAATAAATTATTTCAATATTATTAATATTGAATAAATTATTTCAATCTTATTAATATTGAATTAATTATTGCAATCTTATTTATATTGAATAGATTATTACAATCTTATTCATATTGAATAAATTATTTCAATCTTATTAATATTGAATAAATTATTTCAATCTTATTAATATTGAATAGATTATTTCAAATTATTTCAATCTTATTCATATTGAATTAATTAATTCAATCTTTGTAAATATTTTTAGCGAACCTTTTGTTAGCTTAGTTTTTAATAGTTTATTTTTTATGCGCTCCTATGATTTACTTGTTCATCCGACCTTTAGAGTGTAAAACCTAGTCAACGACGTATCAAATAGTTTCTTGGCAGGGCCTATACTTTCAAAAAAAGTTTAGAGATCGTAAGTTCATCAGCCAATCATTGACGGCCTTTCAAGCAAAATCCACCAATCATAGACAAGAAAATAGAGCGTAAGTACTTACGTTCACTTAATCATAGACAAGAAAATAGAGCGTAAGTACTTACGTTCACTTAATCNGTACTTACGCTCTATTTTCTTGTCTATGATTAAGTGAACGTAAGTACTTACGCTCTATTTTCTTGTCTATGATTAAGTGAACGTAAGTACTTACGCTCTATTTTCTTGTTTATGATTAAGTGAACGTAAGTACTTACGTTCTATTTTCTTGTCTATGATTGGTGGATTTTGCTTGAAAGGCCGTCAATGATTGGCTGATGACCTTACGACCTCTTAACTTTTTTTGAAAGTATAGGCCCAGATTAGAGCAATAACGAATGAACAATTTTACTTACAGTATGATGGCAGATTGAAGCAAATTAGATACAAAAATAAGAACCGCAGTAATAATATGATGGATGAGAAAAAATTAGATGAGGCATTAGCATTTAATATTTTAATTCAGGATGTGGCATTCAGAATGTGGTAATGCGGTAATGCGGTATTAAACATATGGTATTAAGCCTGCGGTATTAAGCATGCAATAAAAAGGTATATGGTATTAAGCCAGCGGTATTAAGCATGCAATAAAAAGGTATATGGTATAATTGGTATTAAACCTGCGGTATTAAGCCTGCAGTATTGAACATATGGTATTGAACCTGCGTTATTAAGCCTGCGGTATTGAACATATGGTATTGAACCTGCGGTATTGAACATATGGTATTGAACCTGCGGTATTAGGCCTGCGGTATTGAGCCTGCGGTATTAAGCCTGCGGTATTAAGCCTGCGGTATTGAACATATGGTATTAAGCCTGTGGTATTAAACCTGCGGTAATGAGCCTGCGGTATTAAGCCTGCGGTATCGAACATATGGTATTAAGCCTGTGGTATTAAACCTGCGGTATTTAGCCTGCGGTATTGAGCCTGCGGTATTAAACCTGCGGTATTGAGCCTGCGGTATTAAACCTGCGGCATTGAGCCTGCGGTATTAAGCCTGCGCTATTGAACATATCGCATTAAGCCTGCGGTATTAAGCCTGCGGGATTAAGCCTGTGGTATTTATATTTAATTAATACTCGTGGTGCGCAGGATGCGCTGGTGCGTCTGCGTCAGAAGGACGCGTGTAACGTCGCCTGCAGCGACGCCCGCAGCAGACGTGTGGGCGAAGACTGCACTGTAGACCCTCTGCACCACAGCCTCGACAGGGTCGGGGTCTGGGGGTTCTTGTGAGGGTCTGGGTCTTGTAGGGTTCTGGGTCTCCAATAGGGTTTGGGTGTGGTAAGGGTCTGGGTCTCGTGAAGGTCTGGTTCCTGTAGGGGTCTGGGCCTCGTGAGGGTCCGGTTCTCGAGAAGGTCTGGTTCTTGTAGGGGTCTGGGTCTCGAGACGGTCTGGGTCTTGTAGGGGTCTGGGTCTCGTGAGGGTCTGGTTCTCGAGAAGGTCTGGTTCTTGTAGGGGTCTGGGTCTCGAGACGGTCTGGGTCTTGTAGAGGTCTGGGTCTCGTGAGGGTCTGGGTCTTGTAGGGGTCTGGGTCTTGTAGGGGTCTGGGTCTCGTGAGGGTCTGGTTCTTGTAGGGGTCTGGGTCTTGTAGGGGTCTGGGTCTTGTGAGGGTCTGGTTCTTGTAGGGGTCTGTGTCTTGTAGGGGTCTGGGTCTTGTAGGGGTCTGGGTCTTGTAGGTGTCTGGGTCTCGTGAGGGTCTAGGTCTTGTAGAGGTCTGGGTCTCGTGAGGGTCTTGTTCTCGAGAAGGTCTGGATCTTGTAGCTAGTGTCTGGGTTTCGAGAGGGTCTGGGTCTTGTAAATGTCTGGGTCGCGTGAGGGTCTGGGTCTGGTGAGGTTCTGGGTCTCATTGGGTCTAGGTCTCGTGAGGGTCAGGGTCTTGAGAGGGTTTGAGTCTGATGATGGTCTGGATCTCCTGGGAATCTGGGTCTCGTGATGGTCTGGGTCTCGTGAGGGTCTGGGTCTCATGAGGGTCTGGGTCTTGTAGGGGTCTGGGTCTTGTTGGGGTCTGGGTCTTGTAGGGGTCTGGATCTTGTAGGGGTCTGGGTCTTGTAGGGGTCTTGGTCTTGTAGGGGTCTGGATCTCGTTGAGGTCTGGGTCTCGTGGAGGTCCGGGTCTCCTGGAAGTCTGGGTCTCGTTGCGGTCTGGATCCTGTAAAGGTCTGTTTCTCGCTTAACGACCTCATTAACAATAAAGTCAAGTGTTGATAAAAATTTTATTTGTTCAGGAGCTTCATACGTCCAATAAATATTTCATTTGTTCAGTCGTACGTTCAATAAATATTTAATTTGTTCAGTCATACGTTCAATAAATATTTAACTTGTTTAGTCGTACGTTGAATAAATATTTAATTTGTTCGGGAGCTTCATACGTTCAATAAATATTTAATTTATTCAAGAAAGTCGTACGTCCAATAAATATTTAATTTGTCTAGTCGTACGTCCAATTAATATTTAATTTGTTCAGTCGTACGTTCAATAAATATTTAATTTGTTCAGTCGTACGTTCAATAAATATTTAAAATATTTAATTTGTTCAGTCGTAAGTTCAATAAATATTTAATTTGTTCAGTCGTACGTTCAATAAATATATAATTTATCCAGGAAAGTCATACGTTACGACGAGACACGTCGCAGCTAATGGACTGCGTACGTCACGTACGTCAATAAAGCTTTAATTTCTTCAGGAAAGTGGTACGTCCAATAAATATTTAATTTATTCAGGAAAGTCGTACGTTACGACGAGACACGTCGCAGTTAGTGGACTGCGTACGTCACGTACGTCAGCAGACCGCGCGTCTACGGGACGTAAAGAAGCAGCTGGAGCTGGACTGGTCTGATAAGCTGGAGGCTTTCCAGCTGGACTTGGGGGCGGCCAAGCTGGTCAACCAGCTACAGCTGGCTCAGTTCAAGGTTAAGTTGAACTGTTTAGGCGGTTATTGCTAACTGGAACTGTTAGTGTATTATATGTTAACTCGAATTGTTAGGGCATTAAATGTTAACTAGAACAGTTAATGCATTATATGTTAACTAAAGCTGTTAATTCATTAAATGTTAACTGGAACAGTTAATTCATTAAATGTTAACTGGAACTGTTAGTACATTATATGTGGAACTGTTAGTGCATTATATGTCAACTAGAACTGTTAATGTATTAAATGTTAACTCGAATTGTTAGGGCATTAAATAATGACTGGGAATGTTAATGCATTAAATGTTGACTGGAACTGTTAGTGCATTATATGTTAACTCAAACTGTTAATACTGTTATTTTTTCTTAAACTGCTAATGCTGTTATTTTTAATTTGAACTGTTAATGCTGTTATTTTTTACTTGAACTTTTAATACTGTTATTTTGTACTTGAACTGTTACTCCTGTTATTTTTTACTTGAACTGTTACTGCTGTTATTTTAAAGTGAACTGTCAATGCCGTTATTTGTTAAGTGAACTGTTAATGCTGTTATTTTTACTTGAACTGTTCATGCTGTTAATTTTTGCCTGAACTGTTAATGCTGTTATTTTTTCTCGAACTGCTAATGCCGTTATTTTTTACGTGAACTGTTAATGCTGTTATTTTTTACTTAAAGTGTTGATGCTGTTATTTTTTTATGTAAAATGTTAATGCTGGAATTTTAAATCGAACCGTTAATATTGTTATTTTTGCGTGAGCTGTTGATGCTTTTATTTTCTACATGAACTTTTCATGCTGTTATTTTTTCATGAACTGTTTATGCTGTTATTTTTTACGTACACTGTTAATGCTGTTATTTTTACTAGAACTCTTAATGCTGTCATTTTTTCATGGACTGTTCATGCTGTCATTTTTGCGGGAACTGTTAATGCTGTTATTTTTACTTAAACTGTTGGTGCTGTTATTTTTGCCTGAACTGTTAATGCTGTTATTTTTTCATGAACTGTTAATGCTGTCATTTTTTACTTGAACTGTTAATGCAGCTACTATTTACGTCAACGATCAATACTGTTTTTGTTAATTAACCTGATTTGTTATTGCTGTTACTGCTAACTTGAACTGTTAAGATGTAACTTTCATCTATCATAAACAAGAGTTAAAAGTACAGACGGCAAATTCATAATAAAAATGCAATGTAATGACAATTTTTTTCGATTGTACTCTTTTTTTGGTAACAAATTTATTTAAAAAATGAAATTTAATGACAAATATCTAATAATTTTTATTTTTACCCTCATTTTGAGTAGTAATGAATTAACAAAATTGAATATAACTACAAATTCATATTAAAAATGCAATGTAAGGACAATTTCTTCAAAATTTCGATTGTACTCTTTTTCGGTAGTAATCAATTAACAAAATTGTATATAACGAATATTATTTATATTATTGAACGAGGACAATTTCTTTATAATTTCGATTGTACTCTTTTTTCGGTAGTAATCAATTAATAAAATTGTTTATAACGAATATTATTTATATTATTGGACGAAGAAACCTTCCCCCAGCCTGGGGTGAGTCACGCTACGGGGAGCAGCGTCCCCGAGGACTGGGGGGAGAGGGTGAGGGGGCTGTTGGGGGGCGCTAAGGGGGAGGTCACGCGAGGGGGGCGAGTGAGGGCCGCTGCCAGACAGGTGGGGTATAGTTATTAAAATTATTGTTTTAATTAAGTTATATGAATTTTGTTATTGAATTAATTAAGATATTTGAATTTTATTATTGAATTATGATTATTAATGAATTATAATTTTTGGGATAAATGGGCATCGATTTGCACAGTTTTCAGAAAAAAATGTCTGTTACTTATCTTCAATTATGCGTGTTTTACAACATCTTCGTAACCGTAATGTTGAAAAAAGTATTTTTTAAACATGTTTTACAATTCCGTAAAGTAAATTATTTTTAAAATAAATTAATTTATAAGATTAAAAATATCTTCATGATAATTCTTTACCGTTCTAGTACCCAACAGTTGATTTTAAGTTTTTTACTCAACATTAAAAATATGTATTGAAATATGATTGAATTTTTTAAAAATATGTCACTTTTTGTAACGCTGACGATGCATGTGTTCAACTGACCATGATGCTGACGATGAGTGTGTTCAACTGACCATGATGCTGACGATGAGTGTGTTCAACTGACCATGATGCTGACGATGAGGGTGTTCAACTGACCATGATGCTGACAATGCACGTGTTCAACTGACCATGATGCTGACGATGCATGTGTTCAACTGACCATGATGCTGACGATGCGTGTGTTCAACTGACCATGATGCTGACGATGAGTGTGTTCAACTGATTGATTGATTGATTGATTGATTGATTGATTTTTATTCACAAAGGAGCTCTAGTTACAATTCAAAAGAGAAAAAGAAAAAAATTTACAAAATAATAGAGACATCCATGAGACTGACCATGATGCTGAGAGACTGACCATGATGCTGACGATGAGGGTGTTCAACTGACCATGATGCTGACAATGCACGTGTTCAACTGACCATGATGCTGACGATGAAGAAAAAATGTCTTTTACTTATGTTCAATTATGCGTGTTTTACATATTCGTGACCGTAATATTGAAAAAAATATTTTTAAACATATTTTACAATTCCATCAAGTAAATTATGTTTAAATTAATTAATGGTTGATTTTAATTTGTTTACTCATCATTAAAAATAAATATAAATAACTGACCATGATGCTGACGATGCATGTGTTCAACTGACCATGATGCTGACCATGGACCATGATGCTGACCATGTACCATGATGCTGACCATGGACCATGATGCTGACCATGGACCATGATGCTGACCATGGACCATGATGCTGACGATGAGTGTATGTCTGCAGGCAATAGACGAGACGTCAGCTGACGTGGTGGGCTGCGAGGCTGACGTGCAGCGAGACGTCGCTCGTCGTATCCATGAACTCGAGACAGCCAAGCAGACGCTCGAGACCGATGCTATCAAAGTATATTTCTCTATTTTATATTATAAAAATGTATTAAATTTTTTATTTTCCAATAATAAAATTATATATTTCGATATCTCAAATTATTCATTTCGATAAAATTTCAAATATTTTTATTTCGAGACAGCCAAGCAGACGCTCGAGACAGACGCTGTCAAAGTATATTTCTCTATTTTATATTAAAAAATAAATTAAATTTTTTATTTTTATTCTAATAAATTATGTATTGCGATATCTTACGCAAAAGAATATTCAAATAATATATATATATATATATGAATATTATTTCAATAATAATAGAAATAATAATAAGAAATATTTACAATATTTCTAATTATAAAAATTTATTTTATTTTTCATGCAGAATTATTGTAAAATTTCGCAAATTATTTATTAAGTTTCATGAGCTTATGAAATTTTATTTTAGATAAAAATTATATTATAGTTGATTATAGTTTCATTATATCTAATGCAATAAGGATTACAAGAAATATATTGCCAATGGAAAATCACCTATCATTATATTAGCCTCGTTGTGTCCTCATAGATTCGTTTAATAAATTATTATATTATAAATTATTCAATTTTAACTACTATATTATAAAAACCGTGTTATAAAAACTATTTGAATCAATATGGCTCATTTCTCCCGACGTCTCCCAAACACTAAATATATCATTTCCCCGAGTTCTTATTACTGAACATACGTAAATCTTTTTAGGATTATAATGATTATTAATTGTTATTATCAACAATTACTCCTAATATTATTAGTAAAATAAGAAATTAAATGTACTGTTTAGGATTATAATGATTAATAACTGTTATTATCAATAATTACTCGTTATATAATTAGTAAAAGAAATATATTAGTGTTTATGAATTACAATGAATATTAATTATTATTATTAATAATTACCTGAAATATTATATAGTAAAATAAGTACTGTTTAGGATTATAATGTTTTTTATTTGTTATTATTAATAATTACTCATAATATTATTAATAACAAGTATTAATAAAAATAAAATAAGTAACAATATTCACTGCAGGTGCAGCAGGAGTCATTGAACAAATGTAAATCTGTTTAGGATTATTATGCTTATTAATTGTTATCATCAATAATAACTCGTAATATTATTAGTAAAACAAGTAACAATATTCACTGTTTAGGATTATAATGATTATTAATTGTTATTAATAATAACAATTTATTAGTAAAATAAGTAATTATTCACGGCAGGTGCTGCAGGAGTGCGTGCAGCAGGAAGCGAGCATCGAGCAGCTGCAGCAGGAGCTGCGGGCCATGGAGGGCCCCATGCAGGTGGCCCAAACCAGGGCCTGGTTGAGGGGCCTCAAGCCGGGCCATGAGAAGTGTCTTGACGGGCCCCACGCCAGGCAAGTGTCTTGACGGGCCCCACGCCAGGCAAGTGTCTTGACGGGCCCCACGCCAGGCAAGTGTCTTGACTGGCCCCACGGCAGGCAAGTGTCATGACGGGCCCCACGCCAGGCAAGTGTCTTGACGGGCCCCACGCCAGGCAAGTGTCTTGAAGAACAAAAACAATATCAACTGACAAAACAATATCAACAGACAAAACAATATTAATTTTAAAAATAATATTCTAATTTTCCCGCAGACTGCAGGAAGAGCTGCAGGCGCTGCCTGCGGGCATCAGCAGACTGCGGGAGCGTCTGCGGCAGAGCGAAGACTCGCTGGCACGTCTGCAGGCTCTGCACGCAGAGATACTGGCAGAGATCCTTAACAAGGAACACACGCTGGCACTAGAGAGACGCTGCCAGAGGGTCAGAGACACGGCACCCAAGGGTCTCTAGTGCACCGGCGACTCTCTGACTAGAGGTTTCAGTGTCTCTGACTGGAGGCTTCATGTCTCTGACTAGATATAACATATATTTTAATACAGGTCACATGTCTCTGACGAGAGGCACAATGTCTCTGACTTGAGGCTTCATTATCTCTGACTTGAGGCTTCATTGTCTCTGACTAGTTATTTCATATCTCTGACTAGTTATTTCATATCTCTGACTACGGGTCACATGTCTCTGACTAGATGCACAATGTCTCTGACTTGAGGCTTCATTGTCTCTGACTAGAAACTTAACGTCTCTGACTAGATAAATTATAGCTTTGACTACAGGTCACATGTCTCTGACTAGATGCATCATGTCTCTGACTAGAGACTTCACGTCTCTGACTAGATAAATCATATCTTTGACTACAGGTCACATGTCTCTGACTAGATGCACAACGTCTCTGACTCGAGGTCCCTTGTCTCTGACAGGAAGGTCCACATGTCTCTGTCTAGACTCCGAGGTCGCGGACTAAAAATACATTTGAGTTTCCTCGTCTCTGTTATGATACCTTGTATAAAGATACAAATACAATGGAGTTTACTTGATTGTATTGGTTTTTCCTGCAAAACTTGTTGAAGAAAAGTCAATGGAAAGCTTTATATGATGCAAAAAGCAACTTGATGAGCTGAATTTTCTCACGGAAGCTGATTTAAAAGTAATTTTTTAAATAAAAGTGTGAAAATCTTGAAAATTTCAGATGAATATAATTGTTTTCCAGGTAATTTCCCCGAAATTAATTTCGTGTAGTGCGATAAGAGATCCTATTTAGAACGATTATGCTACGACAAATAGTGGCTCTACTAGAAGTATTATTATAATTAAATAATAAAACATGCTGTATTATTTTATTATAGTCATTTTTCATAATAAACAAATGGTTTATCATACAACATGAAACTCCTATATACACTATTTAATTATAGTATCTTCCGGTTACATCTTCAAATGTATGTTAGATCACTGCAACTATTTCCCGAGATACTTTTCTATATAATTTAGGATTGGTTACAGTGTTGGTTAGGAGTGGTACTAGTGGTACACTGTACCACTCTAGGAGTGGTACAGTGGCTACAGTTCAGAGTATGTGAATGTTCTGCGATGTTAAGAATCAGCGACAGGTCTACGGCCTACTAAACGCTGAAACCGCTATTATATTATCATACATGATGAAATCTGTGTTAAAATGTCCATCTTTTGTATATCTCGTACAAGCTCACGATTTTCTATTCTGGATAAACTTTAAGCTTTTCTCTGCCCCGGTATTCAGGTAGAAGTAAAAGGGCTGACATTCGTAGTTAGAAAATTCGTCGCAGAAGTGTCGGTGCGCTGAGGTAGTTGCTCGCACAGTTTGCTCACGCCAACGATCACGCGCTTTGGTAGAAATTGGCTAAAGTACAAAGGTGATAAAAGCCATTCCCAGCCATTGGTAATGGATAAAAGCCATTCCCAGCCATTGGTAATGGATAAAAGCCATTCCCAGCCATTGGGAATGGATAAAAGCCATTCCCAACCATTGGTAATGGATAAAAGCCATTAATTGGCTAAAGTACAAAGATGATGCAGTGAACAACGGCAATAATCATAAACGTAGAAGCTGCGCCTGCAATTNCGTTCAATAAATATTTAATTTGTTCAGTCGTACGTTCAATAAATATTTAATTTGTTCATGAAAGTCGTACGTCCAATAAATATTTAATATGTCTAGTAGTACGTCCAATTAATATTTAATTTGTTCAGTCGTACGTTATATAAATATTTAATTTCTTCGGGAGATTCATGTACGTTTACTAAATAATTAATTTTTTAATTTGTTCCGGAGCTTCATACTTCCAATATATATTCAATCTCTCCGGGAACACATTTTGATTTAATTTGTTCATGAAAGTCGTACGTCCAATAAATATTAAATTTATTCAGGAAAGTCGTACGTCCAATAAATATTTAATTTATTCATGAAAGTCGTACGTTCAATAAATATTTAATTTGTTCATGAAAGTCGTACGTTCAACAAATATTAACTTTATCCAGGAAAGTCGTACGTTCAATAAATATTTAATTTATTCATGAAAGTCGTACGTTCAACAAATATTAACTTTATCCAGGAAAGTCGTACGTTAAATAAATATTCAATTTATTCATGAAAGTCGTACGTTCAACAAATATTAACTTTATCCAGGAGTGTCGTACGTTCAATAAATATTTAATTTATTCATGAAAGTCGTACGTTACGACGAGACACGTCGCAGTTAGTGGACTGCGTACGTCACGTACGTCAATAAAGATTTAATTTGTTCAGTCGTACGTGCAATAAATTTTAAATTTATCCAGGAAAGTCGTACGTTACGACGCGACACGTCGCAGCTAGTGGACTGCGTACGTCACGTACGTCAACAGACCGCACGTCTACGGGACGTAAAGAAGCAGCTGGAGCTGGACTGGTCTGATAAGCTGGAGGCTTTCCAGCTGGACTTGGGGGCGGCCAAGCTGGTCAACCAAATTTCGTGTAGTGCGATAAGAGATCCTATTTAGAACGATTATGATACAACAAATAGTGGCTCTACTAGAAGTATTATTATAATTAAATAATAAAACATGCTGTATTATTTTATTATAGTCATTTTTCATAATAAACAAATGGTTTATCATACAACATGAAACTCCTATATACACTATTTAATTATAGTATCTTCCGGTTACATCTTCAAATGTATGTTAGATCACTGCAACTATTTCCCGAGATACTTTTCTATATAATTTAGGATTGGTTACAGTGTTGGTTAGGAGTGGTACTAGTGGTACACTGTACCACTCTAGGAGTGGTACAGTGGCTACAGTTCAGAGTATGTGAATGTTCTGCGATGTTAAGAATCAGCGACAGGTCTACGGCCTACTAAACGCTGAAA